GGCTGCCTCTGTCACGCCCAGACCCTAAACGCTAAACCCCTAAACCCTCAACCCTAACCCTTTAAACCCTAAACCCTAAAGCTTAAACCCAGCAGCTGTGAACAGGCACCAGCAGCGCTTCGCCGAGCGACGACGAGCTTCCGAACTCTTAGCCCTGAAAAAGCAGGCGAGAGCGTGGTGAGCTCCAATATGCTGGACTATGCCGTGAAATACTGAACATTACTAAACTATACTATACTCTACTATACTATACTATACTATAATGGTTCTGTACTAATACGACGCTACAGCAGTGCGATCTCTTAACTATTCCTACTTCACAATTACGACTCCGATGTGGTTATTAGTTGCACTCTGTATTGCCACTACCACAAGAGTGCCAGAATTGAGGCTTCTTGGCTTCGGGGTTGAAGGTTCGAGGGTTTAGGACTTGGGTGGTTTGGGCTGGTCTTGAGCCTTGAGTTTGATAGCTTCAGTGTCGCCTGAGTTCTGCTGGTGCCAGACTTCGACCATTTGAGCCCAATACCCTTACACCACAGACAACACACATCTGCATGCTGTGTTGAGGGTCGCAAACTCTAAAGCTTGACAGGAGATGATGGAGCTCCGAGCAAAAGGCAAGGTCTTGCAAGGCCAGTGCTGAGTCCTTTTTCCTGGAGTTTGCCTCGTTTGCAGGGTCCTCCTTTTCGATCGGGCTCGCGCGGTTGGCATGTCTAGCAGCTTTCTTCTTAGGTGATCAAGACTCAAAACCGTCGATGTTATGGAGGTTTCGGACAAGGGAGTCGAGTGCAAGGTGGATATACTTCCTTGACGGCTTCCCAATGCCAACTTCCATAAATCCCGACTATAGTGCTCCAATCCAAGCCAGCACATGTGTGAACAACAAGCATGCTAACGTTGAGAAGAGGAAATCTTCGCTTCAAATTGAGATTCACGGCGTGGGTTCACCTATATGAAGCCCCATACCAAGCAAAACAACCCCACTACTTTCGGTTGTACTACCCCTTTGAGTGTACTATTTTGGTGGTTCCGTATTATGATTATAGTATAATGGGCCCCAAAACCCTGTTCTAATAATTAAGGCCCCTACATTAAGCCACTCGAAGGCCCAAGCCGGAAGAAACCAACCGTCACAGAGGTCGACTCGAAGTGGATCGCGCGAAGGCTTCAGCCAAGCGGGAGGCTTCGCCGTTCTGTGGCCTTCGGGCTCAGAGTTTAGGGTTTAAGGCAGGGGCCTTAATAATTAGAATAGCGTCTGGGGGTAAAATATACTATAGCTATAATGAAGAACCCCCAGAATGGTATAGGTAATTGTTAAGGCCTCTCCATTACGGTTTAGGGCACAGGCTTTAAAAACCTCTGGTTTGGGGCTGGTGTGCTGGTTTTAACATGACTTGTTGAGCGTCCTTCCGATAGATATCATAGCTTTGCGATCCGAGCCCCTACAATCTACCGATGTCCCATACAATCAATAATTACATGGTATCCCCTCTGCAAAAAAAACACACACAGTTCGGCACATAGTAGGAACCACAGGACCTTGTTGACAAGGGATTTCGGAATCTGTGTCCTGCGATATTATAGTTCTTGTGCATACTATACTATACCCCAAAGGGTCCTATGTACCTATATAGTAGAATGGAGGGCTTCTATATTAGGAATGACTCTTACGGTTTAGGGAAGTATCCCCAATAACAGTACATAGGACCCTTTGGGTCCTGTAGTATACCATGTCATACTTTGCTGCGTAATATCATGCTAGAAGTAAGAAGAACGTCGTCAATTCGATATTCCGGCTCGCGAGTAGCTTGAGGCTGAGAGTTTGCCGGCTGTTTTTTGTTGGAAACCTTTGCTGACCCCTTGTTTTACAGAAGTCCTCTATTCAATTCTATTGGAAAGCACATAGTGCCTCTGGGAGAAGCTTTTATGAGAACCCCAAAATAAACCCTGAACCCTATACTTCAGGTTCAAGGGATCGGGAGTGCCGAATTGCGGCTTTCGGCGCCCATGTGCCGTTCCGCAGGCGGCCTTCCCCTGCCTGAATCTCTGGATCCCGACGTGGCTTGAAATTCCTGATGCTGTCCTTAACCCTAAGCCCTAAACCCGTACTTCTCTCCGGAGAAGTATATAAGACTAGGTAGGAGAAGAGAAGGAGCAGGTCGGAGATAGTTACTCATCGCATTCCTTTCGTGGCTCAACGTCCTCAGGTCATGAAGTATACATGTTCCTTACTCCCACACACTGAAACCCCTACACCCCCCAAGCCTTAAATGCCCCATAACCTCTGAATCTTGAAGCATTGTACACCGGGAATGCCAGGCTCTGAGTGTGGAGGCAGGGCCCTTGTCCGCCTCGAGCCAGCAGCCTTGAACCCTCAACCCCCACCCCGAGCCCGAAACTCTTAGAGCCATGTTTTACCTTAACCTTACCAGAACCTACTTTTTTGTAGGGTCCCTATAAATCCCATATTAGGGTTTATAATAAGAACCTCAAAAAAGTGGGTTATGGTAGGTTAAGGTAGGGTTTAGGGCTACCTCAAGCCTCAACCCTGAACCCTAAAAACGCAGATCTCCGGGTCACGGCAGTGCATCCGCATGTCGCCTCCAGCGCGAGTTTGGCGGGCCTGGCCATGCAGCCCTCTCATTCTGCTCCGTTCCCTGCTGGCCGATTTGCCAAGGGTAAGGACGCGCTAACAATGGTTTTGACAGAGATGGCCCCGGTCCCTCCAGGAATTGTTGTTTCACAAGTGAGTCTCGGGTTTGGACGTATAGAGCTTCGACACGGGACTCAGAACTTACGAAGCGCAGGAGTTCGCAGTCCCTCAGAAAGTCTACTTGAAATGGCTCCGGCAGCAGATGGTGCCGACCTCAGTTCCACACATCCCCCTCAACCCTTAGGCCCCAAACCCTAAACCTTAAACCCTAAACCCTAAACCCTCCCTCCCTGTCTTGCCTCTCCTCATGTCATGCTCTTGAGTTGAGGCCCCGAAGTCTAAATCCCAAGCCGATCTGATTTTTGTTTGGGGGTTGTGGGGTTCAGGGTTTAGGGATTCGGAAAATTCACAGGGCCTCAATGACACTTCTGGCAGCGCAGCACCTTTTCTTGGGCGGTTTGTCGCTGACCCTGAGCTGCTCAGGACGTGGAGAGAGCATGCATGGAGCTGCCTTTCACCATTGCACTGCTGCATCTTCGCAGAACAGATATCTGAGGGGCGCGGATTGGGTGACCCAGTTCCGCGGGCGGAATAATTTGGGCTTCGGCTTTGGAAGGTGGAGAAGATAAGCTCAGCTGTGAGGAATACAGAGGTCTCCCATCCGGTTGCAACGTCTTCGGCATTTGACCTCCAAGCCCAACCTCACTGAACCTGCGAGGGGACTTCCAGAGCCTGAAACCCTGGACTTTTGCTGGTAAATACTCATACCTTAAGAACCCAAAACCTACTTTTTTGTAGGGTCCCCATAAATCCCATATTCGGGTTTATAATAAGAACTTACAAAAAAGTGGGTTTTGGGTTCTTAAGGTAAGCTCTACATCCTGATACTGAAGGGCTTAGTGAGGGCTGCTCTCCACATCGAAAGCACCCAGAGACTCCAATTCCCCTTAATCAAGGAATCTACTTTAAATTATAATAGGATCCCTAATATGATTTCAGGTATATTCCTTAATTAAGGGGTATTGGAGTCTCTGGGCAAGATCGAACCTCGAGGTGCGTCTTTGGTGCCTTCGCCATCATCGGCCTGAGCCAGGCGCCTCTGAGTCGGGAGATTCGGCCGCTGTCGCCGAGGGCCTAGGCAGGTTGCTTTCAGGCTAGGGTTCTCTACATCTTAATAATAATTATAATAATTATAATAACGATAGCAATAATAATAGTAACAATAATAGTAACAATAAAGGGGCCTTATAATTAGAATAGGGTTTTGGGGCCCACTAGACTATAATAGGGAGCCCCCAAGAAAGTATTGGCAATTATTTAGGCCCCAACACTCCAGCGATCCTGAAGGTACGGATCCTTACGGCTGCAGATTTCAGGAAAAAAAACGCCGAGAGGTTTGCAGCCTATGAGCATAAGGTGGATCAGAGACCGGCACCCCACATCTGCACGAAAAGAGCCCGAATATTTTAGAATCCTGAAAGGGGAGTTGGTGCTTCAAGGGGGCGGGTCTTCCGGATACCTCGAAATCCTAGCAGAAGGGGTTTGTGGGTTATTCGGTTGTCCGCCTCCCTTGGAACCCTCCGTCCAGGATCCCAGAAGCCGAAATCCATAAAATCGCAGCAGCCTTCGTTGCCTTCTGTACCAACCCTCTACACCCTCACCACCCACGAACCTATGAGCTTCCAGTGCTTCGTCACTTTGGTCTGGCCGAATGGTTTTGAGTTTGTGAGGATCTTCAGGTGCCTGCACAAACCTTGGTTGACTAGTTGACACAGCCACCCTTTCCTAGCTGTTGTTGAGCCCCGTCAGGGTCTGAAATCGTAGCCCGACATCCTCAACTCATGCCGTGTAAGTTTGCAGAACCAAGCCCTGAATCTGCAGGATCGCATCTACAGAGTCCAACATGCCATCCACGAGGACGGTGGAGTTCGAGGGCTTTTTGTTGGGTCAAGATGTCGAGGCATTCAGCTGCAGTAGCAAATCGGTTTTGAGCGAGCCAGGTCTACACTTTCGGAAGCTTGTAGGCGGTTGAGACAGGTGCCCGGTAGCGCTTGGCTTGTGTTGCATTGCAAGCGACAGTTGTCCAGAGCTGAGTCCTGAATCCCACAAGACCGAGACGCCAGAAGTCTACAAACCCCTACCTAAAGGGTCATACCCTACCCCTTTTGTAAGGTACCTAGTTTTATGGTTAGGATCTGTTACAAAAGTAGGTACCGTAACAAATGGGTAGGGTATGACCCTATAGATAAGCTCCATAAACCTTGCAAGCTCCAAAGACGTAGCATGAGCCGTGGACGCTCTAAACCCTCGAAATCACAACACTCGTAAACCCTGAACTCTAGAAGCCATGGGATCCTGCACGAGAAGGAAAAACAGCAAACATGCACCCTTAGATGACCCTAAACCCTAAGCCCTCAACCCTGAACCCTAAACCCTAAACGCACAGGACATAGCTGCCAATGCCAACTTCGCCTTCAGCGGATACCAGGGACACAAGGCCGTGGACGTAGGTTTAATATACTGGCCTCAATAAATGGGTAGCTCTGTAAATTAGGGTCCCGTTTTAGCCTTATCAAAAGGACTTTAAAAGGGACCCTAATTTAGACAACTACCCAAATACCTATATTATTTTGGGGGTTCCCTGTTATAATTAGACTATAAAGGACCCCAAAACCAGGGCGAGCGTGGGGCTCGATGGGGTTGGGGGTTAGTGCGATGGTCAGTTGTCTCCCTAGACCTTGAGCCCCCGAACCCCAGGCCCGCAACCCTAAATCCATATGGGGGTTTCCGAAAATAGGGGACCCTAACATAGTACCGTAAATAATGGGCTTTTTACTATAAAGACCCCAAAATAAGGCACCACTTACATTCGGAAACTCCCATATCCGGAACCCCAAACCCGCAGCCTTGAGCCGTACAGTCTCGTGCAGAACTACGAAGATGTCCACGGCATCGAAGACTTTTGGTCTTGGCTTCGCCTCGGATACCTTCCTCTTGTCGTCCAGCCGGCACCTGGTCTCGCTTGGCATCAACCTAATATCAGTCGCATGCATGTAAGGCCTTTAAAGACAACATGCATGATGGTGATGAGGAAAGAGTAGTGGTATCAAAGCTACTCCTGTTGCCTTGGCACTAATTTTACTACCGACAGCTCGTGCCACGTTGCCTTGTCAGCCACTTATGTAGAGGAAGTTCCGTGTTGCGTCCTCAGCCACTGACAAAGCAGTGAGCCCCGAATGCTGAAATTGCAAAGTCTTATCCCTTCTTATTCCACCCTCTCTTTCCCCAAGATTGATCTACCGATCGACCTGTGATTTGCATGTATGCATCTTTGCGCCTCTGTCTGTGTCGTTCTGTCTTGTCTCGTTCTGGCGTGTCCTCTCCTGCCCTGTTTGACTGTTTGTTCATGCAAGCATGCACGCAATTTGGATCTGTACTAGTAGCACAATTAAAAGCATGTAGATATATGTGAACTAAAGACACGGTGTTTTGCGAATGCATCCATCCATCCATCCATCCATCCATCCATCCATCCATCCATCCATCCATCCCTCCATCCCTCCATCCCTCCATCCCTCCATCCCTCCATCCATCCGTCCGTACATCCATACAGCCATCCATCCATGCATGCATGCATTCATTCATGGGCTCGCTCATTCACCTCACTCACTCGCTCACTCAGTCACTCACTCGCTCAAAGACTCACTCACTCGTTACTTCATTCCTTCATTATTCGTTCAGTCTGTGAGTCAGTGGGTCAGTGAGTCAGTCGGTCGATCGGTCGGTCATGCATGTATGCATGCATGCATAGCGGCATAGCACTACATCCAGCATTTCTTTGCGATGAAACCCGAACAGGGAAGTCCTCAAATCTGATGGGACTAGTGGAGTCCTCAGTGTCTCAAGTATGCATGTCGTAGCCCGAAACCCTATATTTCATAAGCATTACAGTAAGAGCCCTATGCCCTATACTCAACCTTGAGCTTCGATCTTAGGCCTGGTCCTACTCGGAGGGCAGAGACATCGCCGTAGCCAGCGTGTTCGACCTTTCCGCAGGGCCGGTGTCGGAGCCGTCGGCAGCAGTTTGAGGTTTATAGGGTTTAGGGTTTAGGGTTTAGGGTTTAGGGGGGGTTCCAAGAACAGAATATCACGACGGTCCTCTTAATATAGGGGCCTTAATAATTAGAATAGGGTTTGGGCGGCCCACTGTACTATAATTATAATAAGGAACCCCCAACATAGTATTGGTAACTATGTGTTATTCCAAATCGAAAGGAGCGAGTGGAAAGGATTCTCCTTGCAGGAGCTGCGTTGGCTCCTCACTCGACTATGTCATGTTGAGTTTCAACGATTGGGATTCACGCCTCATGGGTGACTAAAGGATCCAGGCTGTGATGCTTCAGTACATTTAGGATGTACCCTGAGCTTGAGCTCGGGTCTGGGACTTGAGAATAGGATGGTAAGGGACTAGACAACCCTAAGGGGCCATGTACTTAAATAGTATACACACTGGCCCCAAAGTACCTGACGCACTTGATAAGCCCAAAGTACAGGAAGGCTCAGGGTTTAGGGTTTAGGATTTTAGGGATGTGGGGTTCGGGGCTCGGGGGTTTTCAGGGTTTTTGGGGGTTTGGGGTGTCTTTGAGGTTTTCAGGGATTAGGGGTGGCTCGGTTTATTGTCGCTGTCTCTGGCATAGGGTGGCCACATAGCTCCGGACATACAGAAACTCGTTCTAGATGGTGGCCCTTGGTGGATCACCATTAGCTATTGCAGCGACTTCCGCTTGCTTCGCATACCAGGAAAGGCCCAACATAGTTCAAACAGAGACACATGCTCAGGTTTCCGCGCTGATTCCCTAAACCCAAAACCTTACCTCAAGCCTCTACGGTTTCGATGTTCGATGATCCGCTTCGGCTATGCAATTGTCAACCCGGCAGTTTCTGTGCTCTTCAGTTCTTACTGGCCATCGATGCGACTGCTAATCCCACCACTGCAACGAAGTCTAATTCCTCGTCGTGACCTATACGCAAAGTCCTGAGCGCCAATATCCTGAAGCTTGAAGCTTGGAAACCCCACAACCGAGACTGGCATTTAGAAAGGTGGTTTCCTCGACAGCGCAAAACTGCATGCGTCCGACAACTGGGACTCCTGAAACTGGCAGGTTCTCTGCGTGAAAATCTGTTGTCCCAGATGGCGTTCCAGGATTTAGGACCGAAGTAGATTCGGATCTACGGTGATCTATCCCTAAGTCCAGCCTCCTGCCTGTACCCGAAAGTAAGCTCGGAGCCCAAGCCACCGAGCCCACTTGTAAGAAATACTGGCCGGTTTAAGTATATTGGCCCAGGGGTCTATGAGGGTTTCTGAACCCTGAAACCCAATCTCCAGGAACCGTTTTGGTCCACGGCACAAGGGATCCCTCCTTGCGGGAAGTATCTCATAGCCAAGGAGCCGAATCAGACATGGAAGCTGAATGCTTTCGGGAGTGCTTCAGCTGCAGCAAGTAAGTGCGTGGTAAGATTATCTTTCATTTGTTCTGAGCGGCCTCGATCCTGATCGCAAGCCGCGTAAAGAGGATCAAGCTGGAAGTTGAGGTGGGGGCCAGCCGCTGCCTATTTCTGGTGACTATCTTCGCCACAACCGCATGGTTGGCTACTTGCAGCAACTTCAGACGACAGCTCCTCCTGCCAGCTACCCTAAGCCCTAAACCCTAAACCTAGCAGGAATCTGAAGCCATTGGCCGACAGCCTTTGAAGGTGGTACGTTCTGCAAAACTACTGAAGCTTTAAGCCGTGATTGAGCCTTTACATGCTCAATGTAGAGGACGTCAAGGCAACAGCAATATTCATGGGTAGTTCTCTAAATTAGTATCCCTTTTAGGGTCCTTTTTATAAGGGTGCCGTACTATGTTGAGGATCCAAAAAGGGACCCTGATTTAGAAAACTACCCTCATGGTGAAAGCCCAGGGCTATAAATAGCTCACATGCGTACACAGGGTTTAGGGTTCAGGGTTTAGGGTTTAGAGGGGGAAGGAGCGAAGCCCGTGATTAAACCCTACAAGCCTGACAGCCTTAAAACCTTAAACCCCCAACAAGCCCCAGTGCCATTGTTGTGGCCTTCCTAAAGCTTTAGAAACCCTTCAACCCTACATAAACCCCAACGTAAACCCCAAGCCCTAAACCCTAAACCCCAAGCCCTAGACCCTAAACCTTCAACCCTATGTAAATCCCCAAAAAATCTTTATACCCACAATGCAGGTGGCATTCGCCTCCATCAGGGCGTCTCTTCGGGCTCGACGGCTTCGTGCAGATTTCCTGGCGCGGGGCAGCGAAGTGCATGGGAGAGGCCAGGGTTTGAGGGCTTTAATAGAGGGCCTTAATATAGGATTTAGGATTTCGGGTATGGGGCCTCAGGATTCATTGTTTTGGGTTTAGGGCTTATAGGATTTAGGGATTTGGTTTTGGGGTTTAGAATTGCCTATGCTATTTCGGGGGCTCCTTGCTACAGCTATAGTATAACATACCCCAGAACTCTATCTATTCCAATTATGAGGGCCCCTATTTTGGGGTGTTAGGGTGTAGGGCTCTAGGGTTTGGGACTTTAAGGCTTAAAGCTTTAGGTTTTTAAGATGCCGTAAAAGGGGAGTTTTTTGGACTGAGGGGTTTGGAGGTTGGAGGGTGTCGGGCTTAGTTTAGGGCTTAGAGCTTGGGAGGGGGTCCTTGTTAACTTGCCATGAGGAATGAGGACCCGATTGTTTGCCGTCCATATTGGGGCTCAATGTTGTTTGAGATCCTTGAAAACGTTTCAGGGTCAGCGGTCCTGCATCGGGTACCCCAAACGCCTTCAGAGGGACTTAAATTGAGTTTAGGGTCTAGGTACAAGGCTAAATCACACATAGCCCTGAGTCTAAAGCACAGGCTCAGTGTAACTGAGTCCAGACCCGGTGCCCGAAGCCCAAAACCCCACACCTCAAATCAGTAGCCCGCAACCCTAAACCCTAAACCCTAAATCCTAAACCCTAAACCGTAAACCCCACTAAGGCTGAACCTCAAAGCATCAGCCCTAAACCCTGAACCAGAACCTGCATGCTCTTCGGCAGGCTTGGAACCTGAATTAAGGGCCCCCCATGCCGTCGCTTCAGAGTTTACGTTTCAGGTTTGGGTTTTAGGTTCTCATGTTGGCAAGATCTGTTTGACACAGGTGGTATGGCAAGTCCTGCAAGCCGAACTACCAGGAGGTTATCTATTCACCGGAACCGGCAGATGGACAGGCTGGCACCCTAAACCCTTAACCCTAAACCCTAACTGGCTCTCTCACAGATTTAGCATTGGGAAGCATCTAGTGTCAGGCGCTTGCGATCAGCATAGCAAAGAAGTCTGAATCAAACGTGATACGCAGTACTACTATGCCTTATGGGTTTCCTTCGCACTTATACTAAGCCCACACCCAGTCGGACTTTTCAGACCCCGATATCTGTTTTTGTTTTGCATTCCGCTTGGTTTGTGGAGCCGGCCGCCGCCAGATTTTCCACAATCCGGTGAGAGTCGAGTGGTTCTTGCCGGAGATGGACGGCCTCGATCACATCTACTCCAAGGCTGGGCCAATGTCAGGATAAGCTAATTAGTGCTTCAGGGTTTTAGGGTTTTCGACTTTAGGGTGGAGGGGCTTTGGGTTTCGGGGCTCGGAGGGTTCGAAGGGTCTCGGAAACAACGGCACATCTGACAAAAGTTTGGTGGCTCGCAGGTTGAGCCTGGCGCTTGTTCGGGACAAGTTTTTATCTGAAGTTGTCTGTGCCAACAGCTGATGAAGGCGTTGCGACCTCTGGCATTGGGAGGCAATCTTTTCGTTCTGATGGGACTTGCAGAAGGGGCGCTGGCTATCTGTTGTTTCAGTGCAAGTTTCCTTTCTCCAGCCTTTCATGTGACAGGTGCTGGATATGCAAGATCCTTGCTTGCAGCTAGACCCGGCAGGGACTTACCATGACTTACCCAAACCGTGAACCTTGAACATAAGCTGGGAGCTTGGATTGTTCCCCACTGTGGTAAGGACTATGAGAAGGACTGCTCATGTTCATTGCTATGACTATCACAGTTCCTTCTGACATTGCTGCCTGGATTCAGAACATGTGTTGTACCGCTCGTGTGTTCATACCGAAACTTTGTGGCCGAAACCATTTGCATGTTTGTTCTTATTCCTTGTGTGTTTAGCTGCAAAGGCAGCAACCACATCCACAATCAACAGCAGCAGTGAGAGCAATTGCGCCGCCGCCACCACCACCAGCACCGCCCAAAACACCATCAGCAGCACCATCACCGCAGGGACGAACGCAAACGTCCCAACGTTCTTGTCACTGCCAACATGCGCAGCATCAGAATGGCTTGTCACGTTTTCATTGTCATGCTTGCCCAGAGGGTCCCATGTACTGTTATCGGGGATACTTCCCTAAACCATTATGGTAATTCCTAAAATAGACATCGTACATTCTACTATATAGGTACTTAGGACCCTTCAGGTTGCAAAGATGACCATAAGTTTTAGACTGCTGAGGATGGTTGTTCGCAGATGGCTGCCAAAAACCGCAGTGTGTCCTGACCTGGCAGTTGTCGGCATGTTCTTCATCGTTTATTGGGGTTGAAGTTCAGCGACAGAGGTTGACAGGTTCGCGATTGGATGCAGGTTTCGGGCTAGAGGGGCTGGATCTGCGGGATTGGGGAATGTAGATGATGATTCAGGGCTGACTTGAAGGGGAAGAGAGCGGCTTGATCTGATCCGGTATTGAGTGTTGAGTTTGGAGGAGCGTCACCCGAAACCGTACATCATGACGTCGATGCAAGGAGCAGCCCAAGTTCGTCTGACCTCATCAAATGAAAGTCCGAAGTCATGTCCCCCTTTGCAGTCCCTGTTCGTAGCTGGATTTTGCAGAAGAGTCTCCTGCGTCACGAAGATGAAATACAGAGCAGCAGCCTTGCATCTTCATTCCCTGAACTTCGGAACCTTGCCTCAGCCGGAGCAAATCCCGGAGACCGAAGAAGACAACTCAGGAGTGCCTCTGCAACTCCTGTCAGTCGTCCACGCCAGCCTTGCCTTGGCTGCGGGAGGATACCAACCGTGTTGAGGCGCACGGGTCGGAAGGCGGAAGGCGGACTTGGCCAGTGTCTGTTGTACTTTGCAGTTTTGTGATGCTGCTTCCAGGACTTATCAGCTATAACCTACCTAGTTGCTTCTGGAGTGCCGTTTTGCGGATGCTAATTACTGACTGCCAGAGGACTTGTCAATGTCATCTCGTCTAACAGTGCATTGGTTCTGTGCAGTTGACCTTGAATTCCGAGCTACTGAGTAAGTTGTTGCGTTCCAGCAGGCCAGTTTCAAAGTTCTCAATAGAGCCTCTTCCTCCACGCATGGTATCTTGAAACAAAAGGTTAGAGGAGATGTGGACCGCTCACCTCAGTCCTGTGGTTCTCCTTTGTGAAAGCTGCAGGGCTTCTCGGAATGCCTTCGACAGGTGAGTGTTGTGGCCAATAGATCGAGTTAGGGCAGGAGGCAGTTTATGACGGCTCTGGAAGCAAGATCTGATTGAATGCAACATCCAGCCAGTGCTGCGTCTCGTGTCAGGTTGGCATGGTCACATACAATGCGAACGAGGGCATTGTGACGCATACAGGCAAGCGACACTTCATTCATTTTGCCTCATGTGGGCCATGGCATTCGCGTGACTACTAGCTTGATCCTGCGTCTTGCGGTCAAAGTGCATACCCATAGGCCCCATAGTAGTTCCTTTTTGGGGTTACCTTATAGGATTCTATATGTGAACCCCAAAAAGGAACTACTTCAAAGCCTATGGGTATGAGTACTCGAGGAGACAACCGCAATAGGCCGGTGCTCACGGTCAGGCCTTTACCCTAACCCCCAGGTACCTACTATATAGGGCCCTAGGAGCTCTAGTACCCTATACAGTAGGTACCTGGGGGGTTAGGGTTAGCCATGTTAAAGATACCTGCATGCTTCAAGCAGGATGAGGACTACTAGTGGCTGGCGGTGTGATGTGTTGCAGCGTAGCCGCGTCACATAAATCATGCTGGTTGTTGTTGGTCAAAGGTGGCTTTTCTGTAGGTCTGTCGCTGAGTTGCCTGACTTGGCTTGCCAATACCCAGGCCCCTCGCACTTACTCGATCCCTTTTAACCTAAGCCTTAAGCGCCTGGATCCCTCCAGACTTGAATGCAAAGCCCCCATGCTCACACCCTCGACCCCTCTCGCTTTGCCCGTCGAAGGTGTGAACTTTTGGTTCACCCGCGGTGGTCGCGTGCTGAAGCGGATTGAGACACTCGGTCTGGCCGAGAGATGATAGGGTGAGGATCAAACACGGGTGCGGGGATGATAACAGTTATGATTGTGGATATGGATGCTGTTCTAAAGCCCTCCACATTGTAGGACGCGTAGCGAGTCATTAGGGTTTATGTGTGAGAACCCCGGCATGCACAACATCGCGCACGGGAGGGCGCCAGGACTCCTTAACACCTTGGCGTCGACACGGTATTTGTCAACAACATCCTTATTACATGTATATTATACTGTCTATGTGTAAATACACATGTGCACACACATAAAGATAAAAACGTACGTATATGTATATATACATTTATGCGTACATATATATATATATATATATATGTATATGTACATGCAAATATGCATGTATGTACATGTATGTACATGTATGTACATGTATGTATACATACATGTTATATATATGTATACATGCACATATGCATATGGGTGTGTGTATGTGTGTATATATATATATGTATTTACATTTAAATTATACATGGGGAGAGAGAGTTCTTGCTCAAATTACTGAGCATCATCACCACCGTACTACATGCAATTAATCATCTTAACCATAGCTCATAGCTCAACAGTCATAAACATACAAAGCAAGACCAATTTGCATAGCGGACTCGAGGTACGGCGGTTTGCAAGCTCTATGTATGTTCCTATTTATCTCTATGTATGTATCATGTGTGTATATATATATATATACGCATGCATGAAGAGAGAGAGAGAGAGAGAGAGATATATAACAAACTGCACGCCTGCAATACACTCGGCTTTCTATACTGTCAAATTCGCACAAACCCAACTGGGGGGAACTGTTTCTGTATATGGCTATAAAGCAGGGGAACAGGATCCAGTACTGATGGTTCGCATCTTACTTTACCTTACTTTGTTGTTGCTTCGCCACAAGAGGATCCACCCGCATGCGACGTGATCCCGAGAATCCTTCGTGTTCTACTTTTGCAGGGGCCTTAACTTATGCAGTGTAAAACGGGGGATACTGTCGCCTTCCGTAGTATATTACACGGGGGCATGGGTTGCTGCAGGTACTAAGGATCTTGCCATAGCGGGCGCGGGGATGAGGCCTGAAGTTTAGTTAGGGTTGGACTTTGCAGCTACATTCCTCTCCCGTTCGAACTATCCGACGGGACGAATACAGTCCATGAGGCCCCACTGCCCTTGCCCTACCACTTTAACAGGGAGGGGCGCGCCTAGGCGCGGGCTAACGCAATTGGCCCGCACCCGACGGAAGGAAGGAAGGAAGGAAGGAAGGAAGGAAGGAAGGAAGGAAGGAAGGAGGAAGGAAGGAAGGAAGAGAGAGAGAGAGTTCCGCAGTTTTGAGGTTTGGGATGCAAGGGTGTTCAGGGTTTCGGGCATGCATGAAGCATCTGTCGGATTCAAAGTCAACCTGGTGCCGTGATGCCTCAGACTATCTGGGGACAAAGTTCTCTTCAGGTCCCGACTTTGATACACAGCTGTACGAGTCAAACTTATAAAGTCACAATAGGATGAGAAATCTGCTCTGCAGTCCAGCTAAGGACGATGTCGATTTGGGTAGATGCCTCACGTCCGGATGTGGCCTGCCGCAGATACTGAATCTGGCTATGCTGACTTGTTCGGAACAGGAGCCCGCATCTTCGCAGAGCGACTGTCTCGAATCTGGAAACCTGCGCCCCCTCCAAGTATATGTTAAACACGACTCGCACGCAGCCAAACCCACTGTGCCCTGCACGATTCCGAATCAAAGACCTCAAAATCCCAAAAGAAGCTCGTACCGTACCTCCCTCCAAGCAGAGAGCGATCAGGTCTCACGTAGCGGCCTGGAGAAACCGGTTTAGTATTTTGCCCTAGGGTTCCTCCTGATGATAACTTGTGCTATGATATACGTCCGGCCCCATACACTATTCCAATTGTTCAGGCCCCTGTATTCGCCGGACTTCAAGCAAGCGCTTGAGCGCTTCGTTAAACAAAACCTTCTTAAACCGCTCAATTTGTACCTGGAAGTATCTAGGGAAACAGAGAGTTGCAACCAAACCAGGTCCAACTCCCACCTCTCCATGGCCCAAAGACTTTGAGCATAGGGTTTACCTATAGTCTCCATTGTGGTTCCTTTTTCTGGTTTAACCAAATATATATTAAGGATATTATAAGGTATCCCCAAAAAGGAACTACAATGGAGACTAGAGGTAGGAAGCACAACAAGGTGTCCAATCTCTGGACCATGGTCTTCGGTATCATTTGGACGCTGCTGCTGCTCCATA